GAGAGGTGAGGCGGGTGGTCTGTGTAGATCACAAAGGGCCTAGAGCCCAGAAGGTGAGCACGAAACTTCACAAGGGCATATTTCATTGCCAGGATCTCCTTGTCGTAGACAGGGTACTTCCGCTCGGCGGCTTTGAGCTGCCTGGACTAGAACGAGATGACTCGTTCGTGTCCAGCCGTGTCGGCCTGCAGCAATGCACATCCGATGGCGTAATCGGAGGCGTCGCAGACGACGCTAAACGTCTTCGTCTCGTCCGGCAAGGCCAGGACAGGGGCCTCTTGGAGACTGGCCTTGATGCTGTCAAAAGGATCCTGGTGCTCTTGCTCCCGGCGCCAGTCGACGTCCTTCTGAAGGAGGCTCGACAAGGGCTTAGCGAAACCCGCGTACCCTGCGCTGTACTTGTGAAGGTAGTCGGCCAAGCCCAACCACTTTCGAAGATCCTTCTTGGATCGGCGCGTCGGCCATGCTGCTATGGCCTTGACCTTGTCTGGGTCAGCCCGAACGCCCACGTTGCTTACGAAGCAACCGAGAACTTTTAATCTCTGGTGACGCGAAAACGCACTTGTCGATGTTGGCGTAGAGATCGTTTGCTCGCATTACGTCCAGCACTCGACGGAGGTGTCCTAGATGCACCTCCATGATCGTCTTGTCTCCCTCAGCACGGCTATGGACGAATATGTCGTCGAAGTACGTCTGTACGAAGGTACGCAAAGGGCGGAACAATTGCGTCACCAGGCGATTGAACGTCGCCAGGGCGTTAGACAAGCCCTGCGGCATGACGAGCCATTCCCAGAGCATGCCGCTTGGAGTGCTTACCGCGGTGAGCGGGATTTCGCTCTCTCGCATCAGGATTCGGTAGTATCTGTCTACCAAATCCAGCGCACTGTACAGTACGTTCCCGGCCATGTTGTTCAACAACACATCCTTTCGTGGGATTGGTGTTTGGGCCGGCACCGTTGCGTTGTTCAGCTTGTTATAAGCGTGAACCAGACGCCACTTTCCGTTCGGCTTCCGAGCGCAGAAAGTCGGCGTCGAGTGCGGGGATTTCGACTCCCGCACCATGCCTGCCTTCGCTTTCGCGGCGAAGAAGGCATCAATGACCTCGCACTGCTCGCGCGGGAGAGGCCATTGCCTCGTGACACAATACTTTGTGCCGGGCACGAGATCAATCTCGTGCCGTACGCTTCGATGCGGTGGGAGTTGGGTCGGTGGGTGTTTGTTTGTTCACCACGTCCGCATACTCCGTCACCAAAGGATACACCGGATTCTTAAAGATCTCAGAACCCAAGCGCGTCTGACGCTGCTTGTTCAGGTCTTCCAGGACGTTCTCGTCCAAGACAGAGGAGGAGTTCAGCTCCTCCCGAGTGGTCTCTGGTCTCATGAGTACCATCTCAGCAATCTCTCCAGCCTTGAGGTTGGTCAGGAAAGCCTCAGCCGTCATTTCCTCGAGGTTCAGTATCTCTGCAACCTCTGGCAACGGTTCCAAGTGGACACCAGATGCCTTGGCGGGTAAACCGGTCTCGCCATCGAAGATGTGACAACACTCTTCCACCGGCCTTGTCGGAGGTGCCCGGGCCCTGGACTCCGAGTCGCTTGAAGCGACGTCGATCGGAACGAAGTTCGGATCCGACTTGAGGCGGCGGCGGCGTCGTTGACGACGGCGACCGTGACGTCAAGCTTTGCTGCCCACGTCTATGGATGTCGGCGCTGAGGCACTCGTAGCCTCGTGTGGTACCGTGGTACCCACACAGGAAGCGTGTTCGACGCTTTCCTCTTCAGTTAAGGTCTGGGCGACCGCATGTGGCACTGTGTTACCATCTCGGAACACGCTGTTCTCAGTGTTCGTGACAGCTGCAGCTGTCTGCGGAACTAAGTTACCCGCCTGTGGACCTAAATTACCCACTTGGCCAGCGCCTCTTCTGGGCGCTGCCACCATCAAAACATCCTCGGAGTCGTCATATACGTCGACGACTCCCAAGCATCTGCCGGATGCTTTGGTACCCTGGCAGGCCTTGCGGGTGCCCCGGGTCCTGACAGAGGTGGGAACATGACTCACCAATGCTCTGTCGGACTGCGCAGGGCGGCTGGCACCGATTGCCTTGCCTCGCCAGTCGATCCAGGGCTCGTGCTTCTCTAGCCAGGGCATGCCCAGGATCATATCATATGGATCCATATCGAGAACAGTGAACTGTTCGAGGCTGTCAAAGTTTTCAAACTTGACGGCCAGATGCACTTGGACGTTGGGGACAGTGACGATCTTCCCGTCGGCCAGTCGCACCCCCACCGTCCCGTTGCCCTTGCTTTCTCTCAAAGCATCGGACAACTTGTTGCTGTTACGAGCAACCGTCTGCCGGCGTGCGAAATTCTTCGACGCCCCAGGGTCAATCAAGATTCTAAAGGGATGATCGTATCCCCGTACACATCCGTGTACTACAAGCAACCCGCCGCTGCTCTTTGCCGATTCAAGAGTGCGAAGACTCTCAGGGGCTAAGTCCCCGTGGTACGCGCCACCCGCGCGCCCATCACGAAGACTTAATTCCTCCCCAGTAGGGCGCCCCGCCCCTACTGGTTCCCGGCGTTCCCCTGTCCCCGGGATCCTGGCTTCTGCCAGCGACCCTTGAGAACGGGCTTGGGGAAGGACCGTCTGCAGAGTCTTTCCGCGGGACAGTCGCGCTTGAAGTGGCCTATCTTCCCCCAGCTGAAGCAGCGGATGTCACGCTGTTCGGCGGACCCGAGTTTCATGGGAACTGGTCCGTTGGGGCTTGTTCGACCGGGAGCCGACAAGGAACTCTCAGGCCATGCTGAGGCCGGCGTACGCGCCTGGCGATGGCTGTACTCTTCTTGAAGAGCCACTTCAATCGCCTCTTTAAGGGTGCTTGACTGCACCCGGAACAGCTGAGTGCGTGCGGGGCCCCACTCGAAGGCCGTCCATGAACACAGTCATCTTGATGTGTTTGTTGAGTGAGTTTCCCACTAGGGACGCCGTAAGCTCCCGTATCTCGTGCACGTACTCGTGCAGTTCGCGCCTTTCTTATTTCACGAGAGGAAGCGCGAACGCTGGCGGTACTCGTAGTTCGCTGGGAGGAACGCGGCTCGGAGCTGTTCACACAGCTGAGCCCAGGATGTGAAACATCCAGGGGATGTTGCTTCCCGTGTGTACACCCAACTCTTAGCACGGCCGCTAAGGTTGGAGAGTGCAAAAGCAACACGAAATTGCTCGGTCGAGATCAGAGCCGTGTCCATCGCGAGCTCTACTTCTCGGACCCAGAAGTGAAGCTTCTCGTCTTCCTTCCGTTCATACGGCTTAACCTTCAGCCGTATTGGCTTCGGGTGAGGCGGATTTGCTTCCGCCGCCGGAGCCTGCAGGCTCTCCCGCACATGCGCGATGAGGCCCTGCTCGTACGCGTCGAACGCATTGACGCGATCGAGCTGCTCAGCCGGTGTTGACACCACTAGGCTCTGCAGGGCCTCCATCCCGAAGATGCCAGCCATCTTCCGAATCGACTCGAGCTGTGAGTCGTTCAGATGGGAGAAGTCGTTCCTATCCATGGCAACGAACTTCGGAGAGGTTCAGGTAGTCTATCCGCGTTAGCGTGAATAGACTACGAGTGATACCAAGTGTGACGGGGTCACACAGCACCTTGCGCTAGAGGAAGTTATCTTCCGGGAGTTTACAAATTCTCAGTGAACGGCAGTTCACAGGTCCCCTCTTGAGTTAAAAGAGAGCGAAGTGACCAAATTAAGGTAGAATGTAAACTGAGTATATTTATATAACACTCATACTCGGGATATTTGGTACAAAGTACCAATATCGCTCAAAGCCAACCATTGGTCAACGACATTGCATTTCTATAGGTGACTTATAGTTTGTATTAAACCCAAACTTTATCTACCTACTCCTGAAGTGTGAAGTGTCACACTTCATGTAACCAGGGTACACTTAGGGCTACGTACCCCGTTACACCTACCCAATCTCAAGAAAGGAGTGTTAGCCAATGAAACCACAGAAATTCAAGATCAGGATAATCGTTTCTCAAAGGGCACACTTGCAAAAACGCTGATCTACCGGTCTGGGATGTTGGCAAATTATTCATTCACTTTGTGTTTGTAAGCAATCAGATACAGCTACAATCAGTTAAATAGTGGCCTCCTTAGTGAAAACAAGATGAAACTGGATGTCAGTTATCCGGCTAGCTACGAGACTTGCATCATGTGAGTGGAGGTACTGTAGCTGCCTTTTCAGCACCACCAAAAACGTGATGCTACATGTATAAAATGTGAACATCGTGAATGTGTTTTCGTACAGAACCTGTACAATTCGGAACTTGAATCTCTGGTGATAAACTAACTATTAAAGTACAAGAGAAACTAGCCTTGTGCTACTTGACACCTTCAGATGTTGTGCTACATGCAGTAGGTGAGGCTACTGAGTCTAATGCTGTCGATGCAGGTACTGTATTGGTAAGAATGAATTTGGCGTACCGGTAAATCGAACTTTAATGTATGTATCCTGTATTTCAAATTACTGCCTCCTCTATTGTCATTTAGTAATCAGTGCGTCCTTTGTTTCAGTAATACTGTAGTAGAAAATCTCTTCCAACGATAATGCGCTTGTACACTTCTCTCACTTGCACATTTGCTCTATACGAGCCTCTTCCCAAGCCCCTTCAACTTTAACCACACTCGCCATGAAGTTCTCTAACAAGGATCTCGTCATGAAATTCTCAACTAATCAAGCTCTCCACCTCCTGAAGCGTCAACTATTAATACCAGAAGCTAGTTGTGGCTGCCCTCCGTTATTAATAGGGGCAGCGATGTGCTCTCTGAATTAAGTCTGCGAGAGCGTAAGAACTCCAAGAGGAGACTATTTTAATATGCTGTGAAGCTGCAGAAGTTTATCACACGTCTAATACTCCTCAAAGATTATACAATTCATCGTCTTTATCATCTGCCCTTAGCGCTCCTTCTCATCTTACATATCCTTAAGTGATTCTACGTTTTTAAGCGGATGCCGAAGCCAACTTCTTGGTCTCCTTCACGACCGCCGCGCTCTGCAGTAGGACGCGCTCGTAGTCGGACGGCATCACGCGCATGAACTTGTGCACCGATGCGTCCCAATTGTCCAGCACCCTCTGCGCCTTTGGCGACTGCGTACGTTCCAGATGCTTGGCGATGAGCGCCTTGACCTCCTGGATCTCCGCATCCGACGCCGTCTCCGTCAACGGACCGACACCCACCATCCCCATGTTGCACTTCTCCTGGAACGACGCGTCCTCGTCGAAGATGTACGCGATACCGCCAGACATACCAGCAGCGAAGTTACGCCCAGTGGAGCCGAGAACAACCACGCGTCCGCCAGTCATGTACTCGCAGCCGTGGTCACCCACGCCCTCAACGACAGCCTTGACGCCAGAGTTACGTACGCAGAAGCGCTCCCCGGCCTTACCGGAGAAGTAGGCCTCCCCACTGGTCGCTCCGTACAGCACCGCGTTGCCGATAATCACGTTCTCCGGGTTGGCACGCTCCGAAAAGTCCTCGCTCGGGTACACCGACACCTCGCCACCAGACAGAGCCTTGCCGACGTAGTCGTTCGAGTCGCCCTCGAGGTCAAGACGCACGCCCTTGGCCAGCCCGAAGGCCAAACTCTGGCCGCCATGGCCCTTGAGCTTCAGGTGGATCGTTCCGTCGGGCAGACCCTCCTCTCCGTAGCGCTTGCAGACCTCGTGTGACAAAGTAGCACCGAGCGTACGGTCCAGGTTAGTGGCAACGTCCTCGATCACGACGGGCGTCTTGTTCTCCAGCGCCGTCTTGGCCTTGTCAATGAGACGCATGTCGATGCACTTGTCCACCTCGTGGTCCTGCTCCATCTCCTTCTTCACGCCAGCGCCCTCGTTCAACGTGCTGGCGTTGATAAGCAGCGGAGACAGGTCCAGCTTGCGGCTCTTGTAGTGCAGCGCGTCCTGGTTCACCTTGAGCAGGTCAGCGCGTCCGATCAGATCGTCCAGCTTGCGGAAGCCCAGCCGACGCATGTAGTCCTGCACCTCCTCCGCCAGCATGAACATGAAGTTGACCACGTGCTCGGGCTGGCCCTGGAACTTCTTGCGCAGCTCCGGGTCCTGCGTGGCGACACCGACGGGGCACGTGTTCAAGTGGCACTTGCGCATCATGATGCAGCCCAGAGCAATCAGTGGACCCGTCGCAAAGCCGAACTCCTCGGCGCCGAGCAACGCAGCGACCATCACGTCGCGGCCAGTCTTGAGCTGGCCGTCCGTCTGCAGCTTGACACGCGAGCGCAGGTCGTTCAGCACCAGCGTTTGCTGCGTCTCGGCCAGTCCCAGCTCCCACGGCAGTCCGCCGTTCTTGACACCAGTCCACACCGCAGCGCCAGTGCCGCCGTCGTGGCCAGAGACGGTGATGTGGTCCGACTTCGCCTTAGCCACACCGGCAGCCACCACTCCGACGCCGACCTCCGACACCAGCTTGACCGACACCTCCGCCGACGGGTTCGAGTGCTTTAGGTCGTGAATCAGCTGTGCCAGGTCCTCGATCGAGTAAATGTCGTGGTGCGGCGGCGGCGAGATGAGCCCCACGCCCGGAGTCGTGTGGCGCATCGAGCCAATGTAGTCGCTGACCTTGTGGCCGGGCAGCTCGCCGCCCTCGCCAGGCTTGGCGCCTTGCGCCATCTTGATCTGCAGCTGGTCCGCGTTCGTCAGGTAGTTCATCGTCACACCGAAGCGGCCCGACGCCACCTGCTTGATGGCCGAGCGACGCGGGTTGGGCGGGCCTCCAGCCTTGGTGAAGCGTTTGACGTCCTCCCCGCCTTCGCCAGTGTTGCTGCGTCCACCCAGCGTGTTCATGGCGACCGCCAGAGCCTCGTGCGTCTCCTGCGAGATACTGCCCAGACTCATCGCGCCAGTGTTGAAGCGCTTGACGATGTCCGCGACGCTCTCCATCTCGTCAAGTCTGGGCATCTTGTCCTCGTCCACGAACTTAAAGTCCAGCAGACCGCGCAGGTTCACGCGCTTGCACAGCTCGTTCGTCTCCTCCACGTACTGCGCGTAGGCCTCTCGCGAGTTCTCGCGCGCCGCGCGCTGCAGCGCCACAATATTCTTGGGCGAGTTGTAGTGGACCTCGGCGTCGTTCCGGAAGTGGTAGCTGCCCGGGTTACGGATCAGCGGCAGCATGTCCGAGTGCAGTGGGTAGCCGGCCTCGTGGAAGCGAGAGATGTCCGTGTACAGCGCCTCAAAGTCCGTGCCTTGGATGCGCGAGTTGGTGCCTTCGAAGCACATGCTGATGATGTCGTCACCCAAACCCACCGCCTCGAACACCTGCGCGCCCTTGTACGACTGCAGCGTCGAGATGCCCATCTTGGACATGACCTTGAGGATGCCCTTGCCCACCGCCGCACGGTACTTGTCAAACACTTCAGCGTTGCTCATCTCCTGCTTCGAGTGCGCGTACAGTAACCCTTCGTCGTTCATCTTGTTCAGCGCCATCTCCGCCATGTGCGGGTTGATGGCGTCGGCGCCGAAGCCCAGCAAGGTGCAGAAGTCGTGCACCTCCTTGGCGTCACCACACTCCGCGAACAGCGCGACACTCGTGCGCTGCTGAGTGCGCAACAAGTGCTGGTGCACGGCACCGATCGCGAGCAGCGACGGCACAGGGTAACGGTTCACACCAGCGAGCTTGTCGGACAGCACGATAATGGGAGCCTTCTCGTTCACCAGCGCGTCCGTAGCTTGCTCGCACAGACGGTAAAGCGCCTCCACAAGACCGCGAGCGCCACTTCCCGCGGCGAACGTGGCGTCCAGCACCTTGGGCGTCCAGTCAGCGTGGCCAGTGCTCTTCAGAACGCTCATCTCGGCGTTCGACATGACTGGGTGCTCCACCATTAGACGCTTGGCGTGTTCAGCCGTGGCATCCAGGACATTTGCAGCCGGGCCGACGGGGCACATCAAGCTCATGACGAGCTCCTCTCGGATGGGGTCAATCGGCGGGTTCGTCACCTGCGCGAACAGCTGCTTGAAGTACTCAAACGGCAGCTTAGGCTGTTCCGACAGCACCGCCAGCGGCGCATCATTGCCCATACTGCCCAGTGACTCCTTGCCGTAGATTCCCATGGGCATCATCAGCAGGTCCATCGTCTCTGTCGTGTAGCCAAACATGTTGAGCCGGCGGTTGAGTTCGGCGTAGTTCGGACGGCGCTTGAGCTCCGTCGACGCGTCCTTCTTGGCGGCAGTCAGCTCGGCCAGCGACACGAGGTTCTCGTCCAGCCACTTCTTAAACGGACGACTCTCGCTCACAGATTTCTTGACTTCGTCGTCCGACACGATCATGCCGCGCTCAAAGTCCACCAGGAACATCTTGCCGGGCTCCAGACGACGCTTGTACTTGATGTCCTTCTCCGGCAGGTGCTCCAGCACTCCAATCTCACTGGACAGCAGCACGTGGTCGTCCTTAGTGACGTAGTAGCGACTCGGACGCAGCCCGTTGCGGTCCAGCGTGGCGCCGATCGTCTTGCCGTCCGTGAACGCCATCATAGCCGGTCCGTCCCACGGCTCCATGAGCAGCGACTGGTACTTGTACATGTCCTTCTTGTGCGCGTCGATGAGCGGGTCATTCTGCCACGCTTCGGGAATCATCATCATCATTCCCTCAGGGAGGGAACGGTTGCACGAGCTGGCCTTCGTGAGGATCTCCAGTACGGCGTCAAAGTTGCCAGAGTCCGACTTGGAGTCCGAGCAAACAGGCAGCAGATCCGACGTGCGGTTGCCGAAGTACGAGCTGTGCAACTTGCCTCCACGCGCGTACATCCAGTTCTTGTTGCCACGCAGAGTGTTGATCTCTCCGTTGTGGCACATGATGCGGTTGGGCTGCGCGCGATCCCAGGACGGGAACGTGTTGGTGGAGAACCGCGAGTGCACTAGCGCCACATACGACGTGAAATCCTTGGCCGACAGATCGTCGTAGTACTCGAAGAGCTGCTCAGGCGTGAGCTGACCCTTGTAAGTGATGGTACGGTTACTCAGAGAGTTGACGTAAAAGTCCGAGAACTTCTTCTCGTTCACTGATGTGACCACATTGCGTAGTCGTAGGAGTTCCTTCTCAAAGTCGTCTCCCGAGAGGTTCGGGTTCTCGTTAAGTACCATAACCTGTTCGACATGAGGCTCCGAGGCCAAAGATGTGGCTCCTAGTGTGTTGGACGTCGTGGGCATGGCTCTCCAGCCCACAACTTTGAGCCCCATGGCCTCAGCCATGTCATCGAACGTCTTTTTGGCCAACGGGATGTCGTTCGGTGCGTTCTTGTTAAAGAAGACATTGCCTACAGCGTACTTCTCCTTCTCGAGAGTCAGCAGCTTCGCGGCGGCGCCGAATTCGCCGTCTGTAGTGACACGCTGGACGAACTCGTGCGGCAGCGCGACCAACATTCCTGCGCCGTCTCCGGATGCAGGGTCGCAGCCACAGCCACCGCGGTGGGACATACGCACAAGCATCTCGTTAGCCTGTACAACGGTGGACCGGGACGGCTTCTTCTTAAGGCTGGCGATCATACCGACACCGCAGCTGTCCTTCTCCTCGATCTGGCGGTACAGGCCTTTCTGTTGGAAGATAGCGCGCTTGTCGGCGCCTTCGCCCGGGATGGAGCGGAAGCCGCGGACGCCATTAGAACGACGAGGCGTGAGCGCAGAGAGGCGGCTGGCAGACGATGAGAGGGACGCGGCGCGGCGGTGGATGCGGAACATGCGGACAATGCGGAAGTGTGCACTTGACCGGCGCGGCGCAAAATGCGAAATGCGGACGCCGAAGCAGCATCACGGTACTTGCGATTCAGGAATGAATTGAGACCTTGAAGAGGAGACTGAAGTGAGGTTGTGGAAAAGCTGCAATAAATAGTGAGCCTACAAATTTTACGCTAGCTATCTTTATGGAGCACGATCTTTTGCCTTTCTTTGCGCCTCTTGGTTAGAAACGAGTGGAGCAGCAGTACAGTGGCCACTCTCAACCAAAACTGAAGGGTCCTGTTATAATAAGCAATGGTGCATGTACATGAACCGTGTCCTGGAGAAATGCAGCTACTGGTACATGTATTGCAGCGTATGCAGGTGTAGGTAGTGCCATCCCGGGTCCGCCTCGCCCGTGTGTTGGCCTTGCACGTCGGTTGATTCCTCACTTCACAAGCATATTAACCCATCCTCCTGCTTGCGCAAAAGGGAGCCGCCATATGCCAATTATCTTGGCTTCAGTATGCACTTGTTAAGTGCCTTCTTGTACACTCGCCAATGATCCTCCAACACTCTTGGAGATTGTCCCCAAGTCATCCGACAAGTCTTGGAAATGGTCCCCAAGGCGTGCATCAGCCGCACGTGTCTGATGAATGGCCTCATGGCAAGGACAAACCCACGCGATTGACGAGATACCTCACCGCAAGCCCCCTTTTCAAGGAAATCTCTCAAATAGGGGCATCCCTGTACATGTATCACAGGGTCTGTAGCCATCTTGCGCTTGTGTCGATTTGATTGCAACACAACTTGCGCCAGGATGAGAGCAGCGAATTGCTGCGGCAACTGCAAAACGGCGTCGTCGGCTGAGTCTGGCGCGCAGAGCTTCAAGCGGACAAGTTCCAGGGCAACAGCGGTCGAAGCTCAAACAGCGTTCGGGGGAGAAATCCACGTCGAATTGACGCCAGCCGCGTGCAGATGTCGTAGAGGTGTTAAACCAGTTCCGGTTCCGCCGGAACTTCCGGTGCATTGCACAGCTTCAAGCGCGAGGATCCACATGCGACGGGCGGTGGGGATTTGCCCCGGCTTGCGGTTGTTGCAGTTGCCTCGACGTCTGCTGGTCTGCTAAATGTAGGTCAGTTTTCCTCGCAGCCGTGGCCGCACGGCACTCAGTCATTGGCAGGCATTCGACATGCAAGTACAACGACGGTGTGCCGACGCAGCTTCAAGCGCAAGATTCGCCAAATGTGACAGTCAAGGGCTCCACGCTTTCGCCTTGTCTACGGTTAACAGCCCCGCCTTGAACTTGGTTGTTGTTGCAGTTCACTTGCAACGCTCCGTCTATCTTTTCCCAATCGACGGGGATTGGCGATTTTTGGCTGGACGACCAGTGAACGGTGCGGGTTCAAGTTACAGCAGCTAGAAAACAGACGAGCACGCCGTCCGAGTTCAAACACGCCTGAGGGAGCGGGCGTCGTGTTCGGAGCCTTGTCATTCCTCTCTTTGGGTATCCGGCGCTCACGTCTCGCAAGGAAGTCGCAACTCCAAAACTAGGACGTCGGTAGCAAAATATGGTGGCCGTCCTTTGACCGCGCCGCTTCAAAACTGCTCGGACGGTCGCGGCCCGCGACTCGCGGGTCTGAACAGACGCGGAGACACCAGATCTGCTCGAACAGTCGCAACTCGAGAGTCTCCTATGGGGCTGCATGCTGGTAAGCCGTGCATTCGGCTAAAGTACACGAGCTTGGTAGGCTATTTCCTGTGCGACAATGTTCAGTAAGGCTGACGACCCGAACGTGCCGATGGCCCCGACGCCTGCAATCGAAGGCGTGGACCACAACGGCCTCGTGGTGGGCAAGTGGAAGAACGGACTCTTCGGCAGCTGCTACATGAACTGTGTCCCTAATGGTATGTCATCAAAGATCTTGCTCGCTCTTATGACTCTAACCAGGCGTATACTCTAGCCATCACGCCGCTATTTTGTCCCGGTATCTCGATGGCGCAGATCTGCGCGCGTCTGGGTATCGCCAACTTCTTCGCGGTTCTCTTCTCCTATTTGTCAGTCGACGGCCTCGTCTTCGGTGCTGCAGTGACCAAAGTCGACGTGCTGAGTACACTCGCCGTGATCTTGGGCGCGCTGGTAATGCTCTTCACGATTCGCATTCGATTCCGTATGCGGTACCTGTTTTCCATCCGTGGATCGTTGGTGGAGGACATCTTCTCGTCCGTCTTCTGTTGCTGCTGCGCCGTCGCACAAATGGCTGATCATTCGGAGTCGTTCGAGCCCAATACGTTTGCCATTCTACCGCGAGCAACATTGCCAGGTTACACCTTCGGATAAACTCTGAGAGGTCCGCAAAGAGTACTTGTGCGCAAACTCTGTATGTACCACAGCGACGGTAGTATCGCAGTGTACAGAATAGAAAAACGTGGAGGTTTCACATCAGCTTCGCTTTCGGGTTCTTAAGTTCGTATGATCGTTTCTTGCTCGCGCAGTTCGAAGAAGACAGATTTCAAGCAATTGCGCGAGTATCGAATCGATACTATCGATACGCCCCTACATATATCTTGTGAACAAGCAAAATAGCCAGAAGTGTGAATCATTAACAGTTGAATGAAGCCAGAGACAGTAAGTGGTCTGGCCTGCAATGATAAAGTGTGGTGGGTTTCGAATCGGTGCTTCTACATTTACACCGAAGCTATAGCGCATCGTACTCGAGTCAGAAACACAGTAAACTATACTGACTCACTGTACTACATGTAGTCTCAGGTTACGGCTTATTAGTACGAGTACTCTACATGAGAGCATGACCACCTCTCGATCGACTTGCTCACAGCATTCGCCAGAAACCGGTAGTGTCCAATTCACTGTCACCTCCGCATTATGAAGAGTCAGCAACCATCCAAGTCATCGACCACGTTTATCTACTCCAACAGACTTGAGTGTGGCGACGGTGTTGATCACAACGGCATCACTGTGAGCGACTGGAGCAATGGATTCTACAATTGCTGCGACGACATAATCCCCAGCGGTACCGACACTGTACTCATATCTTCGTAGTCTCTGCTCTTCTTACATTCGTCTTTGACGCCGACAGGTTTCATGGCATTCATTTGTCCCGTGATCACGGTGGCTCAGATCACTGTTCGCCTCGGGCTTGCCTGTAACGGGGTACGTAGCACTAAGTGTACCCTGGTTACATGAAGTGTGACACTTCACACTTCAGGAGTATGACATGTCATACTCCGGGATATTTGGTACAAGGTACCAAGGTCATTCAAAACCAACCATTGGTTAAATGACATTGCATTTCTATAGGTAACTGATAGTTTGTATTAACCACAAACTTAACCTACCTATAAATATACTCAGTTTACAATCTACCTTATTTAGGTCACTTCGCTCTCTTTAATTAAAGAGGGGACCTGTGAACTGCCGTTCACTGAGAGTTTGTATACTCTCGGAAGATAACTTCCTCTAGCGCAAGGTGCTGTGTGACCCCGTCACATTGCCAATTACGCCTTTATCCTCGGAATGCATGTGGCATTGTATCTCTTGGGACTGGTAGCCGCAGCAGCAGGCAACCCCGTCTTGCTGCTCTTGTGTGTGGCGGCGGAGATCATAACGACTGTCAGTATCGCCTGCCTGCGTCTCAAAATGCGCCACCTATTTTCCATCCCAGGAAACGTCCTCCAAGAAGCTGCTCTTGTGGTCTTGTGTCGCCCCTGCGCTATCGCTCAGATGGCGACGCACATTGAAGCTTATCGCAGTGGGAAATGCTGTTGGAATTCACATGGGAGACCAGGCACAACGAGACATGGACACACTGGATGAGAATCAGGTGGGCCAGGACATTCGGGATGAGAATCAGTTGGGCCAGGTCATTGTATGATAACGGGTTGAATCCGTTAGTGATGGTAGGAGCTCTGGAGGAGCGTGAGCTAGCACTTAAATAATTCAGTCTTCATTTTACCTTCACAAGTCCAGAGTGCTGCCAAACGGAACGGAGTTCCAATAGGGTTCTGAGCCCAAATGACGAAGCCCCTGAAGTACTCGAGTGAAGGAGTCCCTAAGAACTGGGATGGTAAGGATTGGCAGACGTACAAGTGGGCGCTGATGAACGTCTTCAAGGAACAAGACCTCAAGGACATCGTAGTCGGAGATTTGACCTTAGCGATGCTTGCTACTGCAAGTGCAGAGAAGCAAGAGGAGTTCAAGAAGAAGCAGTTGAAGATCATGCGCTTGATTGGTACATCGGTACCGGCAGACGTGCTGCATCAACTACGTGACAAGGAGACCGGATCGGAGATGTGGAGTGAGCTCTGCAGCCTTTACGAAGGGAAAGCAGAACGAAGCCATCAAGGCGTACACGATCCGTCGCGTGAGAATGAGCTTTGGAGTATAAAGCTCGCACCTGAGGATACGCCAACTCATCTTTGCAAATGTCATCTCAGACTGTGTTGGCCGACTTGAACCATCCGGTTGCAGATACCACGATGGTGGATATGCTACTGGAGAGTTTGCCTGATCAACTGGAGTTTGAGCATCTGAAGTCTTCGATATACTACGGCGCAGACCCGAGTGTCTACACACCTAAGAAGGTTCGAGAGCTGATTCTTGCGGCGAAGGCTCGGCAGAAAGAGTTTCGAGCTAAGCGCACTGAGAAGAAGGGTAGCCCACGAGAAAGACATGGCAAAGGCAGTGAGAGCAGAAAAGGCTTTCACGAGGACAAGACTGGTGACCCCAAGAGAGTTAGAAGATGCTTTACTTGTGGCAGTGAAGATCACCTACGTGTCGATTGTCCTGAGAAGTCGAAGGGGAAAGAGAAAGCTGACGACGCAGAGAAGAAGCGTAAGCCGCGCAGTTGTTGTACCCTACGACAAGAAACCACTGGACCAGTGCAGATGAACCGCGAGTGGGATGAGGGTGTTGTGGCAGGAGTCACAATTTCTCGTGAAATATACGGGATTCCTCGGGAGCTCGATGAAGCACATGGAGTGGATGACGTACACACTGATGATGTACGTGGCATTGGAATCGTGAGCGACGATGACGCAGCGAGTGATGGAAACCCGGTGAACGATCATGAGTCAGATAGTGGTGAATCACATCTGGAGGACAATGATCAAGTAACACAAGGTCTCAATGGCGGGTGGTGGTATCTGGATACGGCCTCCAACTCGCACGTCACGGGGAATTTCGCTGAGTTCGTGTCGTACACGGCAGACTCGGAGCAGTTACAGCAAATCCGAGGAGTTACGTCTACGATTGCTTCCCGTGTTGCTGGAATGGGAACAGTGGCGTTTACGACAGAGGTTAATGGAGAACAAGTAGTGAGCTATCTCGACGGAGTGTTGTACATTCCGGATGCCGAGTATGGTTTGTTTTCTCCTGGATTAGCCTATGAGCAGGGTTATACTCTGGAATATGACAGAGAATCGAGAAATTTTCACGTCATGAGAAATGGAAGGACTGTGGCTGTAGCAACGCAGCAGGAGGCCACTTGGGGGTTCCAAGTAGCGAGTCCGACCCAGAGAACTCGAGTGCTACCAGAAGCAGCAGCAAGATGTAATCACACTATATCAGAAGGTGTTGGTTCGCTGCAGCTTTGGCATGAGAGACTGTGTCATATCTGTCCACAGTATTTGAAGACTATGGTCGACAAGGAGCTGGTGGAGGGAATGATGGTGACACAGAGACAGCAAGATACGTGTGATGCCTGTCATCTTGGAAAGCAAAAGATGAAATCACACAGGAAGATGCTGGACCGTGGACTGAAGAGACCCAACCAAACAGTGTATGCGGATCTTCTGATCCCAGGGAAGAATAATGCGACTCAATATGAGGCAGTGTTGGTGATCATGGATGGTTATTCGCGGTTTGTCACTGCGCACCTGCTGAGGAACAAGGACAGCAAGGTGGTGAACAAGTACATGCAAGAGTATGTGTTGTGGGCGGAACGGCAGGCAGGCCGAAATGCCAACGGGAAAACATACAGAGTGCAGCAGATTTGGAGTGACAAGGGCGGTGAATTCTTCAATGAAGAAATTGATGCATGGTATCGTTCAAGAGGAATTGAGCATGTGAAAGTCGGGCCGAAGAGCTCGCAGCTCAATTTGTGTGAACGAACGCACCAATCGTTAGAGGACATGACTAGGTCTACGATGGCACATTCGGGGCTACCGAAGAGCCTGTGGCCTGAGGCACTGAGAAATGCAGTGTATGTCAAGAATCGTGTGTACAACAGGGG